TCCCAACAATTTCAAATATGTCGTTATAGCACGATTCTGGGCCATCAAAGGGAAACAATCAAGTTAACACGTGGGGTTGAAACCCCGAGAACAATCAATGCTTTGGCACTCTTCAGGATATTCAAACTGTTGTCTTCCAGCGAGGCAGTTCCTCCAATGGAATTGAACCGTTGTAGGGGCCTATGAAGAGGGAGCTTGGAGGGAGGGTTAATTCCAACCTCGTTGATGACTCTTGGATTTCCACTGGTCCTCCTCCTCCTCCTCCTCCTCCTCCTCCTCCTCCTCCGTTTACTCCTCCTCATCATCATCATAATCACATCCGTAGCCATTTTGGCTCAAGCCATTTGGCTCACGGAACGATGGTGGCACGGGATGACGCGGAGTGCGCGCCAAGGCGATCGGCGGCCCAGCGCAGGGCAGGACGAGAGTGGGCGAAGTAGTCCGCCGGCAATGCCGTCAGGCGGCTCTCGGGCGAGCTGGCCAAGACCCGGTTTCGCCTGGAGGCCGCGGAGGAGGCCCTGTGCGCCGTCATCGGCGACGGCGAGGTTGGGCAGCGACCGCAGACGATGCTCCCCGCGCTGCAGGCCAAGCTTGGGGGTAGGTTCCCCGCATGGCTCGAACGCCTGCGGCGTAATGTCGCCCTCCACGCTGGGGCGCAGGGCGTGGACATCGTGGCGGCGGGAGCGGCGGAGCTGCGCTGTGCCCAGCGGTGGCCCCGGCTGGAGGGGCGCGCGGCGCCGAGGCGCGAGGCCGAGGAGGCTGCCGGTGGGGCGATGCGGGCGGAGGCGCCCTCCCTTTTTCCTGCCGGCCTCCTAGGTGCTGCCACGCCCGACCTCGTGCCTGAAGGATTCGGCCGAGATGGGGGCGTCCGAGCTGCGCGGGCGCGGCACCACCGCGCGGCTGTCGCCGTGAGTTTCAGGGACTACGTCGACGCTATCGCGGAGGACGGCAGCGACCAGCTGGAGCCTTTGGATGGCAGGCCGCAGGTGCGGTCGCCTAGGGAGCTCAGGCGCCTGCAGAAGCGCCTCCTGCTACTGGGACCAGCAGCGGTCCTTGGGGGGCCCAGACAGGGGCAGACCCTAAAGGAGGGCAACGGAGTTTGACGCGAGGCCGCAGACATGCGGGTGACCGAAGCCCTTGACCAGGTCCAGCCTCCACCCTGGGCCGCGGATGCGCGGGTGGCCGAAGCCCCAGGGGAGAGAGCCCCCTCGTCGGCGTCGGGGCGCGGAGACGTCCTTGGGGAGCCCGGTGCTGGGCAGACCCAGAAGGGGGGGGGGTGAGCTCTGGAACAAGGCGCAGACGTGCGGGCGGCCGAAGCCCTTGACCGAGCTCAGCCCCGTTCCAGGGCCACGGACGCGCGGGTGGTCGAAGCCCCTGGGATGAGGGCCCCCTTCCCAGCTGCTGGCGTCGGGACGCGGAAGCGTCCTTGGGGAGCCCAGACAGGGGCAGACCCGAAAGGGAGGGGGAGGCGAGCTCGTGCTCGAGGCCGCAGACGTGCGGGTGAGCGTTTCCCTCGACCGAGCTCAGCCTCCGCTCAGGGCCACGGACGCGTGGGTGGTCGAGCCCCCTGAGCCGAGCGCCCCCTCCCAGGCGCTGGATGGAGGACCAGAAGGGCCAGAAGGGCATGCGCAAGCGCAAGTTCGGCCTGGACCTGGACGAGGACGGGGGCTTCTTCGAGGGCGGGCTGGAGGACCCGAAGGGCCAGTACAAGTGCGAGGCCGGCCTGGGCCTAGGCGCGAACGTGAGCGCGCGCGAGGACTGGTCGGAGTGCGGCGGCCTGGGCGGCGGCACAGGCTTCCTGTCTGCGCCCGAGAACCTGGAGGCGGGGACCGCCTCTCGGACCTCCCTCGCCGCGGCCAGCATCCTCTTGGGGGTCCCATTCGCGGCCCCGTACCAGCTCGCGGGCGTCGCGGGCTGAGTCGCCGTGACTGCTTGGGTGTCGCTTTCCGCCTGCTTCGGCTGGGGCGGGTGGCGGCTTCTGGGCACTCAGGCGAATCTGCGCTTGTGCCTTGGGCACGAGACCGCGCGTTGCCTCCGCAGGGCCAAAGGGCAAGGCCTCGGTCCGAGGGGCAGTACGAGCTAGGAGCTCCTGACCTCTGTAGACGCGTGGATCATCATCATAATCCCCACCATCATCACTGTCATCCCCCGCCTGCTCTCCTCCCCCTCCCTGGCCCCCCCCTGGCCTTCCCGGGAGAAAGCTGGTTTCGCCGACGGCTGGTTTCGCCCAGTTGGTTTCGCCGACGGCTGGTTTCTCCGACGTTGGTTTCGCCGGGCTGGGTTCGCCGACCCGCCAGTTGGCTTGGCCCAGCTCGTTTCGCCGACCGTTCTCGCGCTGGCAAGCCCGCCGCCCGCTTTAGCGCCCCGCCCGCCCGACCAGCCCGTCGGCAAACCAGCCCCGGCGAAACCAGCCGCCGGCGAAACCAGCCCATGCCTTGTTCCCTCCGCTCGCGTCACACATTGCCCCCCTCGCTCGCTCCCTGACTCCCACTTCTCCTTCCCGCCCCCCCCCGTGCAGTCCCCTGTCTCTTTCCCTCGCTGGCCGCGTGCGCGTCGACCCGCTTGCCTTTCTTCCCCCCTACCCCTTACAAGGACACAATATAAGTACTACTCTCCTCTCTCCGCTGATGACGTCCGAAAAATATCCAGCCCCCCTCCGCGCACTATCTCCTTAAACACAGGATTCCCGGGAAGTGGGTGTTCGCTTGGGCTTTCTTGCAAACTGTTGTTCCCGCTGAAGCGCTGGCCTCATGTTTGGGCTTCCGCTCGTTTTGAATCGTGTTCCCGCTGCAGCGTTGGCCTCATTTCCGCGCTTCCGCTCGTTCCGAATCGTACTCCCGCTGCAGCGTCAGCCTCATTTCCGCGCTTCCACTCGACCCGAATCGTGCTCCCGCTGCAGCGTTGGCGTCATCATGTCCAGTGCCATGCCACGGCATGGTTTTCGGTCCATCCAACTTCCAAACAGGCCCCAAAATCTAGAAAATGGCCTCCCGACAAAAACCATAGGAAGTGATTCCGCATTCGATGCCGCTTCGTTGTTTTTTTGGGGCGTCGCCACGCCGTGCGATGTCATGTTACGCGTTAGTATGTAACACCATGCTGTGCCATGTAATGCTATGCCAGGCTATGACATCCGATTGTGCGAATAAGGAGGAGATTCACGCCATGGTAACAAAGGATGGGAGGGAGGGGTAGTACGACGTCAGATGTGGCGCGAGCGCGCCTAGCTTGCCCTCCTCCCTTCCCCCTGCTCTCCCCTACCTTCTCTCGCTCCCCCTCCCCCCCCCGCCGTTTTCTCCCTCCCCTCTTTTCCTCCTTCGTCCCCTCCCCATCACCTCCCTTCTCTCGCTCCCCTTCCCCCTTCCCATCCCCCCCCGCCTTCTCTCCCTCCCACCCTTTCCTCCCTCCCCCTCCCCTTTCCCGCCTCTCCTTCCCCCTCCCCCCCCTTCCCTCCCCCCTTTCCCGCCTCCCCACGTTCCCCCCCCCATTCCTCTGCCGCAGCTGTTCCTCCCTGACCCTTCCCCTGCCTCTGCGTGTCCCTGCTCTGTTCCTCCCCCCCTCCTCCTCCTCTTCCTCCTCCTCCTCCTCCTCCTCTTCCTCCTCTTCCTCCCTCCCCTCCTCCTCCTCCTCCTCCTCCTCCTCCTCCTCCTCCTCCTCCTCCTCCATTCTTTCTCCTTGTAGATAATTCCTCTCTGTCGCACGCCGAGGCCCGTTTTTAGGGATGGCCGGGCGTCTCGCCTGAGACCCCCTCACCATTCATCACTCTGAAGCTTAAAAAGTGACGACAGCTTCACAGATGAAGGGCGGGTGGTTTTCAACATGTGGTTATCGCTTTAGCGCCGCGCACATTCGCTTTAAACATTTGCAAGAGCTTCACGGATTGAGGGCGGGTGGTTTTCAACATGTGGCTCTCGCCTCGGCGCCGCGTACATTATTTAAAACAAATTGCAAGAGCTTCACGGATTGAGGGCGGGTTGTTTTCAACATGTGTCTCTCGCATCAGCGTCGCGCACATTCGTTTTTTAAATATTGCAAGAATTTCACGGGTTGAGGGCGGGTCGTTTTCAGAATGTGGCCCTCGCCTTAGCGCTGCGCACATTAAAACAATTGCAAGAGCTTCACGCATTGAGGGCGGGTCCTTTTCAAAATGTGACTCTCGCTTTAGCGCCGCGCACAGTCGTTTCAAACATTGCAAAGAGCTTCACGGATTTCCCATGATCAACATACTAGAAATTGTGTTTTGGAAGGGTTCAGGACTATGCGGGCGCAACATTTATGTTGATTCACTGTCTTGAAGTTCCAAAAACGGCGTTCTGGCGCGATTCTGGATCGTCAAGACGCAGCAGTCAGGTTGATACGTGGCGTTGAAATCCCGAGAGCAATGTTTTGGCATTCTTCGGGATCTTCAAACGGTTGTCTTCCAACGAGGCAGCTCCCTCAATGGAAATGAACCGTCGTAGGGGCCTATGAAGAGGGAGCATGGAGGGAGGGTGTATTCCAACATCGTTGATGGCCCTTGGGTTTCCATTGTTCCTCCTCCTCCTCCTCCCCCTCCTCCTCCTCCTCCTCCTCCTCCTCCTCCTCCTCCTCCTCCTCCTCCTCCTCCTCCTCTTCCTCCTCCTCCTCCTCCTCCTCCCCCCCCCCGTTCTCTCCCCAGTCGTGCAATCGAGCAGGCCATGGGGCGAGGCGGCGTGGTCGCCCAAGCCGTCGGAGAGGCCTTCACGTCGCCGCGGGTCGTCCTGGCCCCCCGCGCCGTGCGGAGCATACAGTATATACGGGGCCTTCGGCATATCGGGGGCGGAAAAGAGGGGGGTGATGACTAGGGGGGGGGATATCATGACGTGGGCCATGATATCTCCCCAGATTTCGTGGCGCCTCTTCTTGTTTCACTACATCCCTGGCCCCCCCGCCGGGCCGCGCACATGCCGCCGGTCATGATTTGCACCCCCCCTCTTGGACACCCCCCTCTTGGCCGCTCCCGAGCATGTGGCGGTGGGCAGGACAAGAAGGGGGAGACCTACCTCAACCTGGTCATGGAGTACTGCTCAGACACTCTGCACAGAGTGATCAGACAGTATTACAAGCTGAGGCGCCCTTGTCTTCGAGCTTGAGCAGATGTTGCCCATGCCTTACTCTGTCTCGCAATCATTGCACTCGGTACGCGTGGAAAGCCACAGACGACAAAAGTGTGCGGAGCAGCATTCAACATGCTTACCACCAGCGGCTCCGTATGTTGAAGTGCTGCCCAGAGCAGCTGTCCTCAGGCTTGCGTGTTCTCTCTCTCTCTCTCTCTATATCTCTTTCTCTCTTCCTCTCTCTCTCTCTCTCTTTTCTCTCTCTCCCTATCTTTCTCTCTCTTTCTATGATACATATGAAGATAAGTATCTCTTTTTCTCTCTCTCTCTCTCGTTTTCTCAGTGTGCGTGTGTCTGTCTATCTGTCTGTCTGTCTGTGTCTGTCTGTCTCTCTGCCTGCCTGCCTCCATGCCTCCCGTCTGTCTGTCTGTCTCTCTGTCTCTCTGTTTCCCTCTGTCTCTCTCTCTCTCTCTCTCGCTCTCTCTCTCGTCTTTCTCTCGTCCTCTCCTCTTCCTCCTCGCTGGTTCCCTCATCGTTACGGTTGTGGTCCTCTTCTCCTTCCTCCTCATCCCCCCTTCGTCGCCATCATCCTCTTCCTTCCCTTCCTCTTCCGCCTCGCTCTCCTCAGCCCTGCTCCGCCTGGGCTCCCTCCCGTATCGCGCCCCTCCGCCGCGGCGAGCGCGGCGCGGCGGCCTCCCCCCCCGCGGCGAGCAAGCCGGTGCCCGACCAGCTGGTGCAGCTTTACTCCTACCAGATGCGGGGAGGGTAGGGGGAGGAGGAGGAGGAGGAGGAGGAGGAGGAGGAGGAGGAGGAGGAGGAGGAGGAGGAGGAGGAGGAGGAGGAGGAGGAGGAGGAGGAGGAGGAGGAGGAGGAGGAGGAGGAGGAGGAGGAGGAGGAGGAGGAGGAGGAGGAGGAGGAGGAGGAGGAGGAAGGAGGAGGAGGAGGAGGGGGAGGAGGAGGAGGAGGAGGAGGCGGAGGGGGAGGAGGAGAGGGGGAGGGTTACTGCATTTTCGGGGAACCTCGCCTGTTCCCAAAATCGGTCTTTTCTTGTGCCCGTCGCGGGCTCGATGCGGACTCGGCGCGGATTTGGCGTGGATCCGACGCGGATTCGACACGGATTCGTCACGGATCCGGCGAGGCCGGCATGGATTCGACACGGATTCGACGCGAGTAGGGCCGCGGCGGGACAGACAAGGCCCCCCGAGAGGATGCAACCGAAGGAGGGGAGAGGCGAGGGGGAGGGGAGGGCGCTCCAGCAGTTCTCCCGAATCGAAGAGCTGACGCCTCCTCTCCGAGCGGAGGCCGGCGGACGGCCGGCGGGCGGAGGGCGGCGGGAGCAGCACGCGGGCGGGTCCGCCAGCAGTTGGCGGCGGAAATCGCGGTTGCCGCCCCCCCTCGGAGGAGAAGTACACCTTGGGCGATGCTTAAGAAAACGTAAGGTTTCGGCCAGAGTCTCGCCTTTTCTTACTGTTTCGATGTAAAGCCTAAACTTTGAATAGGATTTTTGGGTTTTTTATTCAAATCCTGAGACTATGAATTTCTTAACCCATGATTTCTTAAGCATTTCGCAGGGTGTATTCTTCGGCGGCGAGCCCGGGGGGGAGGTGAGAAGGGGCAGGCCTTCTCAGAAGGCTCGCCCGAAGGCGCAGAGGACCTCTCCAAGGGCGCGAGGGCCTCTGAGAGGCCCCGCCACCCTCCGAGAGGGCCTTCCTCTCCTCGCTTCCCCCCCCCCCCTCGCTCGCCGCTGGAGCCTGGGAGGAAATCCCGGGCTGCCAGAGCCGGCCATGAGAGGAGCAGGAGGAGGGGGATGATGTGGCTCGCGCCGCGCCGGGGCGCACCCCTCGCACATGTCGTGGCCCCGAGGGATCTCCACCGAAGGCCGCAGCGGCTGCGTCCGCATGGTGACTCGCCATATCTCGGCGCACACCTTAGGCGATGCTTAAGAAAACCCAAGTTTTCGGCCAGAGTCTCGATTATTCTTAATGTTTCAACGTAAATCCTAAGATTTTAATAGAGATGTTGGGTTTTTATTCAAGTTCTGAGACTATGAATTTCTTAATCCATGATTTCTTAAGCATTTCGCAGGGTGCACCCCTCACATGTTTCTGGCCCCACAGGCAGCTCCGCCTATAAGGCTACACTGGCGGCGGCAGGAGGAGGAGCAGCAGCATGATCTCAGCAGCAGGGCCGGGTCCAAGGCTAGGCCCAGGGCCAGGAGTTCGGGGACATGACGAGCAGGACGAGGACGAGGATGACGAGGAGCACGAAGACCAGAGGAGAAGGAGGAGGGGGAGGAGGAGGAGGAGGAGGAGGAGGAGGAGGAGGAGGATGCAATTCACAGCCCAGAGCCTACCTCCCGGTGCCTACTTACGACAGATGGCCCACCGAGGCCCAGTGTGTTAGACATGTCAAGATATGGCTCCAAGGAGCCTGGTACATATTTTCCATATCTCAGGTCCCATGACGACTTCAAGAAGCAGTCCACGATGCTCCGAGGAGGCCCCAAGAGGCCCCAAGAGAGCCCCAGAGGCCCCCAAGAGGCCCCCAAGCAGCCTCAAGCAGCATCCAGGAGGCCGGAAAGAGGCCCCCAAGAGCCCAGCGGTCCAGGAGGGGGCCGAACGAACATTTCCAGCCCTGGGCTCCCGGAAGCCCAACAGGAAGCCGCACGTAATTCGCAAGACCCCTCCCCGACGCTGCCGAGACGCCCAAAAGGCTTCCCAGACGGCCCAAAATGCAAAAAATCTACGATGCCCAGGGGTGCGTTTTGACAATCATTTCGAGACGAAGCCAGCCTTGGCCACGAAGAGCGCTTCGGAGGCGGAAAGGAGGGTCATCCGGTTGCGGACCGGACTGGGCCGCAACCGGACCCGGGGGCCCGGGGGCCACGACCTCTACCAAAAATGTGTGGCCCAGGGGCCCGGCCGGACCTTGAGGGGCCCAATATCGCATTGGAGGCCGGTCCGATGAGCGTCACGGCGGCCCCAGCCAGCCGCCCACCACCCCGAAGACGGCTTTGACAGATCACGGGACGTCTCCAACGGCCCCACAGGCTTAACCTGTGCAATTTGCCCCACGAGGGCCCCGAGAAGCAAAAATAGCCCCATTCCTTCCGTAAAACGTATATGTTTACCGTGTTCAGTATGTTCGCCTTCGCACCATCCTTGACGACCTCAGGGGTCCCTAAGATTGCCCCTACGCGGCCCAAGAGGCCCCCCAGAGGGCGCCAAGACGGCCCAAGAGGGCACCCAAAACGGCCCCAACAGCCTTCCAGAGGGCTTCTAGAGGAGCCCAAGATAGGGCAATCCAATTGAAATTGCCAGCTCCGCGCCCGAAGAGGACCCCCGAGACCCCCACGAGGCCCCAACCAGCCAACACGAGGCCTCCAAGACGCCTCATAACCCACACAATTTGACCCCCGAGAGGGCCCCGAGAGGCAAAAATGGCCCCGTTCTCGTCGTAAAACGTACATGTCAACCGCATTCGTGTTTTTCGTCTTCGCACCGTGCTTGCCCCCAAGAGGCCCACAAGCAGACCCTAAGAGGCTTCCAATGTATGTATGTATGTACGCATGTCTGTCTGTATGTATGGATGGATGGATGGATGGGTTGACGGATGGATTGATGGATGTGTATATGTGTATGTATATATATATATATGTATTTATGTATATATCTATATATGTATACATGTATATGTGTATGTATATGTATATATGTATATGTATATGTATATGGATATGGGCGACGCGGAGCAAGAGTCTCTCCCCTGCCCGCTCCTGCGGAACATCGTGGTTGCCCACGACCCTTCGGACAGGGCGACGATCTTGCTGCAACCCGCTTGTTTTCTTTGGAAGGAGTCCCAGCGGCACAGGTGCCAGGGCAGGGGGGGGAGGGGAAGGCGGCGAGGTGGGGAGGAGGGAAGGGTGCGAGGGCACGCGGGCGTCAGTCGGTTCCAGGGGGGCAAGAAGCCCAAGCGACATGTGAGATTTTTACCTGGCTCAAGCCCTGGCTCAGCCATTGACCCATGCGCAAAGCATCTTCGATTCGCGTCGTCTCTGTCATGCGGGCGGCTGCGCTTCCCGCGCTGATCGTTGGTGCGTGCTACGGGCGACTCCGGCGCGTTCCCTTCGCACGCCGCCACCCCAGGCGCCCGTGTGGCAGGCCCTCTATCCAGAGACCGCGCCCTTTGATGATCAGGAGGAGCTCGCAGGCCTCGAGGTTGACATCAACACCAATATCGGCGGCGTGCCTCCACCGAGGGAAGAAGATCCCGATCTCGGTGATAATGATGATACTCTTGCTTCCAAGGTGACCGAACGACTCACCTTTGTTTCATCCGAATTCAATTTCACCCGTTTAATTTCATCCGTTGAATTGCATCAGTTTAGCTTCATCCCTTTAATTTCATCCGTTTCATTTCTTCCGGTTTAATTTCATCCGGTTTAAATTCGCCCAGGTTTAATGTGATCCGGTTTTCATTCGTCCGGTTTATTAATTTGGTTTTAAGTCGTCCGGTTTACATTCATCCGGTTTCAATCTCTTCTGTGGGCCATTGTGTGGCCCATGTTGTCTAATTGAATCCATTCAAACCTCCTCCCTTTTTAATTCGTCCGGCTTTGTCGTCCGGTTTAAATTCATCCCGTTTTAATTCGCCCTGTTTGAACTCCTTGGTTTTAATTCGTCTGGTTTGAATTCCTCCGGATTTTATTCGTCCGGTTGAAATTCATCATGTTTTTTAATTTTGCCTGGTTTAAAATCATCCAGTGTGAATTCACTGGTTTGAATTCATCCGGTGTTATTTCATCTGCTTTAAATGTATACTGTTTTCATTCGTCCGGTTTAAATTCATCCGGTTGTAAGTCGCCCTGGAGGTGGAATCGGTTGGGAGCCGGAGTCTAGGAGACGAGCGCCGGAGTCGGAAAGTTGCGGGTTGGAATTACAAAAACTTGCAAACGGAGGATAAGAAATGGGAATCAGAAATAAGAACGAGGACCACAACATGATCGACCCACGAACCTGGAAAGGAATATAAAAATGTAACGCGTGGCAGCGTTTTCAAAGTAACCTGATAGGGTGACGGGCAAATGCAATGTTGAGTGTATCGATCTTGATGTACCCTGCCGAGGGCTCTGCTGTGTTGCACCGTGCTGAATTGCGATGTGTCATGCCGCGATTGTGCTCTTATATAGCGTCGTGGATCGCGTCCTCCTTTGCATCCGAGTCCTGACCGAATTGATCTGGATCTTGAGCTCGAGCTGCCAGAACACATAGTAGCTGCCCCAGAGCTAATTGACAGGGGGACATGCCAGGAGGACGCGCCGCGAAACGTCCCAAGGGACGCGCGAAGCGACGTGCCAGCGGACGTGCCATGGGGTCGCACCGCGGGACGTGCCAAGGGGAACGCGCTACGGAACGTGCCACTGGATGTGCCACGGGATGTGCCAGGGGACGCGCCACGCGACGTGCCAGGGGGACTCGCAAAGGGACGCCCCACGGAACGTGCCAAGGAACGTGCCAGGTTGCGATGCTGAGTGTATCGATATAGCACCCCGCAATTGCGGATAAGAGTGAGGGGGCGAGCGCGGGCGACGCGGGCGTCGAGCCGGCGGACCTCGTGGCCCTCACCTTCCTTGTCGATGGCACCCTCCTCCTCCTCCTCCTCCTCCTCCTCCTCCTCCTCCTCCTCCTCCTCCTCTTGCTCATCCTCCTCCTCCTCCTCCTGCTCTTCCTCGTCCACGTCCTCGTCCTCATCGTGGTCGTCGTCGTCCTCCTCCGCCTCCTCCTCCACCTCCTCCTCCTCTTCCTCCTTTTCCTCCTCCTCCTCCTCATCTTCCTCCTTCTCCTCCTCCTCCTCCTCCTCCTTCTCCTCTTCCTCCCCCATCCTGCTCCTCCCCCACCTCTTCCTCCCACCCCCCAGGCGTGCTCTGACAAGTTCAGCGCGGGGGGGATCGCTGGTGGGCCACCCGGAAAGAATTCAAAAACAGCCCGCCGCAGGCGCCGCAGTTTTGGCTTGTTCAGTGAACGTAGTTTGGGTCGCGGGTGGGTCGCTGGCTCTTGACATCCACCTGAAAGGAATTCAAAAACAGGCCGCCGCAGGCGCCGAAGATTTGGACTTGTACACTGAACGCGGTGTGGGTCACAGGTTCTCCACCTGGAACGAATGCAAAAGAAGCCCGCCGCAGGCGCCGAAGTTTTGGCTTGTTCAGTGAACGTAGTTTGGGTCGCGGGTGGGTCGCGGGCCCTCCACCTCCACCTGAAAGGAATTCAAAAACAGGCCGCCGCAGGCGCCGAAGATTTGGATTTGTACACTGAACGCGGTTTGGGTCGCGGGTGGGTCGCAGGTTCTCCACCTGGAGCGAATGCAAAAGAAGCCGGCCGCAGGCGCCGAACATTTTGGGTGGGTCGCGGGGTGGGTCGCAGGTGGGTCGCGGGTGGGTCGCGGTGGGTCGCGGTTGGGTCGCGGGTGGGTCGCGGGTTGGTCGCGGGGTGGGTCGCGGGTGGGTCACGGGGTGGGTCGCCAGTGGGTCGCGGGTGGGTCGCCGATGCAAAAAAAACCCGCCGCAGGCGCCGAAGTTTTGGCTTGTTCAGTGAACGTGGTTTGGGTCGCGGGTGGGTCGCGGGCCCTCCACCTCCACCTGAAAGGAATTCAAAAACAGCCCGCCGCAGGTGCCGGATTTGTACACTGAACGCGGTTTGGGTCGCGGGTGGGTCGCAGGTTCTCCACCTGGAACCAATGCAAAAGAAACCCGCCGCAGGCGCCGAACATTTTGGGTGGGTCGCGGGGTGGGTCGCGGGTGGGTCGCGGGTGGGTCGCGGTGGGTCGCGGTTGGGTCGCGGGTGGGTCGCGGGTGGGTCGCGGGGTGGGTCGCGGGTGGGTCGCGGGTGGGTCGCCGGGTGGGTCGCGGGTGGGTCGCCGGGTGGGTCGCGGGGTGGGTCGCGGGCGGGTCACGGGCGGGTCGCTGGTGGGTCGCGGGTGGGTCGCCGGGGGGGTCTCGGGGTGGGTCGCCAGTGGGTCGCTGGATGGGTCGCGGGTGGGTCGCGGGTGGGTCGCGGGGTGAGTCGCGGGTGGGTCGCGGGGCGGATCGCGGGTGGGACGACGACAACAACCAAGAACAAACAACAAACAACAAACAGCAAACAACAATAAGAATCCGCATCGCGGAATTCCACTTCAGCCACGCACCCAGGGACAGTGAATGACCGTTCGGTTCAGCCCCCTCACTCTGATCTTGGTGTACCGTTCCGAAGTCTGTGCTGTGCTGCGCCGTGCTGAATTGCGATGTGCCATGCCGCGATTGTGCTCTATATATAGCGTCGTGGATCGAGTCCTCCTTTGCATCCGAGTCCTGATCGAACTGATCTGTATCTTAAGCTCGAGCTGCCTGAACACATAGTAGCTGCCCCAGAGCTGATTGACAGGGCGACATGCCAGGAGGACGCGCCGCGAAACGTCCCAAGGGACGCGCGAAGCGACGTGCCAGGGGACGTGCCATGGGGACGCACCGCGGGACGTGCCAAGGGGACGCGCTATGGAACGTGCTGGGGACAAGCGTTTCGCTCGAGACATCTTGTCAACATCCTCATGCCAGACATCCACCTGAGCGACCTGGACACGTGAAAACAAGCGTTTCGCTCAACACATCCTCAACACATTCTCATGCTAGACATCCGCCTGGGCGAACTGGACACGTGAAAACAAGTGGTTCGCTCGAGACATCCTCAACACATCTTCATGTGAAGCATCCGCCTAGGTGACCTGGGCACATGAAAACAAGCGTGTCGCTCGAGACGCTTTCAACACCTCCTCATTCTAGACATCCGCCTGGGCGACCTGTACACGTGAAAGCAAACGTCTCGCTCAACACATCCTCAACACATCTTCATGTTAGACATCCGCCTGGGCGACCTGGACACGTGAAAACAAGCGTATCTCTCGAGATATCCTCAAGACATCCTCATGTTAGGCATCCGCCTGGGCAACCTGGACACGGGCAAGCAAGCATCTCGATCGAGACTTCCTCAACACATTCTCATGCCAAACATCCGCCTGGGCGACGAGGACGCGTGAAACCAAGCGTCTCGCTCGAGACATCCTCAACAAATCCCGGCGCTAGACCTCTGCCTGGGCAACCTGGAGGCGTGACCCCAAGCGCCACCCAGTGGGGTATCTAACATGATTGCCCCAAACTGGAACCACTTGCTTTTACGTGTCCAGGCCACCCAGGGGAGATCTGACATGATTGCCCCGGGCAAGGACCGCATGTTTTAACGTGTCCAGGCCACTCAGGGGTGTATCCAACATGGTTGTCCCAAGCTGCCACCGCGTGTTTTCACGTGTCCAGGCCACCCAGGGGGGTATCAAACATGATTGTCCCGAGCAAGGACCCTGGTTTTAAAGTGTCCAAGCCGCCCAGCATGTGTTTTTACGTATCTAGGCCACCCCTGCAGGGAGTATCTAACATGGTTGCCAAGAGCTGGATCCATGTGTTTTTACGCGTCCGGTTTAAATTCATCGGGCTTTAGTTTGTCCGGTTTAAATTCATCCAGTTTTAATTCGTCCGGTCTAAATTCATCCGGTTTTAATTCGTCCTGTTTCAAATTCATGCGGTTTTCATCCGCCCGTCAAAATTCATCCGGTTTTAATTCGTCTGGTTTAAATTCATCCGGTTTTTATTCGTCTGGTTTAATTTCATCCGGTTTTAATTCGTCCGGTTTAAATTCCTCCGGTTTTAATTCGTCCGGTTGAAATTCATCTTGTTTTATATATATATATATATATATATATTTGTTTTTTATTGTTTTTCTTGGTTTAAAATCATCCAGTGTTAATTCACTGGTTTAGATTCAGCCGGTGCTATTTCATCTGCTTTAAATGTATATTGTTTTAATTCGTCCGGTTTAAATTCATCCGGTTGTAAGTCGCCCTGGAGGTGGAATCGGTTGGGAGCCGGAGTCTAGGAGACGAGCGCCGGAGTCGGACAGTTGTGGGTTGGAATTACAAAAATTTGCGAACGGAGGATGAGAAATGGGAATCGGAAATAAGAACGAGGACCACAACATGATCGACCCAGGAACCTGGAAAGGAATGTAGAAATGTTACGCGTGACAACGTTTTCATCTGGTATAGGAATATAGGAATTCATCAGGTTTTTATCCCCCCAATTTCCACACGAGTCACGCAAAACACAGCGGACGAAACCGCAGCGGACGAAATAAAAGCGGACGAAACAAAAGCGGATGAAGGGCCCTTTGGCTTCAAATATTCTGGTTTCCAACACTCTGGCTTCCATGGTGGTAATATTCTTTCTATTCTGATCCAGGCCTCCAACAGGAGGAGCGCGACGACGACGAGTTCGAGGTACGCGTGACCCCCGACGAGGTGCAGGCCTTCTTTCCAGAGGGCGCGAGGAGGGTTGCTTGTCCCATCCGCCTTGGTGTTAGAGGTACCGGAACGTTGTATGTCCATGATGCCACCGACGGGCTAGGTTCCAGGATCCTGAACGTCATCGGTGCTCTGAGGCATGCTGAGAAGATGAATGTTGGCTTCGGGGGGGTGGTCTCACTGGGGGGGGGGCACCATCGTCACACAACGTGAGTATCTCTGCCGGATTGCAGGCGTTTTTTGCGTGTGACCTATATGTTGACGCTTTGCCGCAAGATACGCAATTATTCAGCTGCCTGCAGCAAGTCCCGCCGTCGTGCCAGCCTCACCACCCACCAAACCACCCCAACCCAACCCGAAGCCCTCAATTTGCCTTCTATTTCAGTGGGGGGGGGGTCGGGGAACGTTGAAAAAACACACATGGAATCCGTACCCCCTCCCAACCCGAAACTCGGGTCAAATTCGGGTCTTCGGGTTGGGTTGGGGTGGTCTGGTAAGTAGTCACAGCCCAGCATTCTGGGCGGCGACTGTTCCAGGGGGAACGGGAGGCCAGGCCGTCACGCGTGGCAGCTCGTGTCGCCAGGATAGTCAGGCCGCGATGAGGATGATGGGCATTATGGGGATGATAGGGGATTATGACGATGATGTTAATCGACGGTGGGGATGGTGATGATGGTGATGGTGATGACAAGGATGATGATCATGATCATCATGATAGCGATGATGGTGATTATATGTGATGGTGATGAGAATGATGATGCTACGGATGATGGTGCTAATGATGTTGATGGCCACGATGAGGACGCTGGTGGTGGTGATGATGGTTATGATGGTGACGATGATGCTGGTAATGGTGATGAGTGGGATGATGGTGATTCTGATGATGCTGATGGTGAGGCTGATGCTGTTGATGATGATGCTGATGATGATGGTGATGATGATGATGATGATGATGATGATGATGATGAGGATGATGAGGATGATGAGGATGATGAGGATGATGAGGATGATGATGTTGATGACGATTGATGTCCAAAACCTGTTTAAACATATGATCCCCCCTCCCCCCCTGGACCCCGAGTGTCATTCATACGCCAGCGGATACTTATTTGTTTCACTGCCCCCCTGGGAAAAATATCCGACGGAGAGCGGACGTACGTGTGTACTGTACACCTTAGGCGATGCTTAAGAAAACTTAAGTTTTCGTCCAGAGTCTCGATTATTCTTAACTTTTCAATGTAAATCCTAAGATTTGAATGGAATTTTTGGGTTTTTACTCAAGTTCTGAGACTATGAATTTCTTAACCCATGATTTCTTAAGCATTTCGCAGGGTGTATACATATAGCGGGGGACCGGGTCCGGGGGCTGGGGGCCGGAGCTTCGACCACAAATGTGGGGCCCGGGGCCCGGGCCCGCCTTTGCAGGCCCAAAATCACCCCGGGGAGCCCTTAAGATCGGGGGCGGAAAAGAGGGGGGTGATGACTAGGGGGGGGTGGATATCATGGCGCGGGCCATGATATTTTCCCAGATTTCATGGCGCCTCTTCTTGTTTCATTACGTCCCCAGCCCCCCCCCTGGGCCGCGCACATGCCTCCGGTCATGATTTGCACCCCCCCCTCTTGGACACCCCCCTCTTGGCCGCTCCCGACCAGACTTTCTCGAGAGACCCTTAAGACGCCGTCCAGGGGTCTCGATCTGGCGACGCACGATGCGTTTGAAACTGCCCCGGAGGCCCCCAGGAGGCCTTTCAGATGCCGCCGAAGAGCGCGCCGAGAGGGCAAAATCAATGATTTTGATTGGTTGTTTTTTCAATGTTCTTTGCATTCTCGCTGTTTCACGTTTCCGACGCTAAAGCATCGCCCAAGAGGCTCCCAAAACCGCTCCAAGACGGCCCAAGAGGCCCCCAAGAGAGCCCCAAGACGGCCCAAGAGAGCCCCGAGACGGCCCCAGAGCCGCCCAAGACGGCGCAAGAGGGTTCCAAGAAGGCTCCAAAAGGGGCCCAGGAGAGGGAACGCGAATCGAAAAATCAAGCTCTCCGCCCCAAGATGCCCCCCCCCCAAGAGTCCCCAAGATGCCCCCAGGAAGCCCCCCAGAGGCCCCAAGAGGCCCCCCAGAGGCCCCAAGAGGCCCCCAAGAAGCCCAAAAGAGGCTCAAAGAGGTCCCAAGGCGGCACCCAAAAGGCTTCAAAATTCTTTCTAAGAGGCCCCCGAAGACATGCCAAGAAGGTCCAACGACGACTTCAAGAAGCAGTCCAGGATGCTCCGAGGAGGCCCCAAGAGGCCCCCAAGAGAGCCCAAGAGGCCCCCAAGCGGCCTCAAGCAGCATCCAGGAGGCCAGAACGAGACCCCCAAGAGCCCAGCGGTCCAGGAGGGGGCCGAACGAACATTTCCAGCTTAGGGCTCCCGGAAGCCCAACAGGAAGCCCCACGTAACTCGCAAGACCCCCCCCGACGCTCCCGAGACACCCAAAAGGCTTCCCAGAGCGCCTCGGAGGCGGGAAAGGAGGGTCATCCGGTTGCGGACCGGACTGGGCCGCAACCAGGCCCTGTGGCCCAGGGGCCACGACCTCTACCACAAATGTGTGGCCCGGGGGCCCGGCCGGACCTTGAGGGGCCCTATATCGCATCGGAGGGCGGTCCGATGAGCGTCACGGCGGCCCCAGCCAGCCGCCCACCACCCTGAAGGCGGCTTTGACGGATCACGGGACGTCTCCAACGGGCCGAGAGGCTTCGAAGACGCCTCTTAACCCGTGCAAGTTGCCCCGCGAGGGCCCCGAGAAGCAAAAATAGCCCCATTCCTCTCGTAAAGCGTATATGTTTACCGTATTCAAGATTTTCGTCTTCGCACCATCCTTGACGACCTCAGGGGTCCCTAAGATCGCCCCTACACGGCCCAAGAGGCCCCCCCCAAGAGGGCCCCCAGACGGCCCCAGAGGCGCCCAAGAGAGCCCCAAGACGTCCCCAAGATGCGCCCAAGAGGGGGACCACGACCCCCAAATTCGACCCTCCCGCTTGAAGAGTGCCCCAAGAGGCCCCAAGGAGCCCTTCAGAGGCCCCAGGAGGCCCCCGAGAGGCACCCAGGAGACCCAAACAAGGCTTCAAGAGGCGACAAAACAGCCCCGAGGAGGTCCCACAACGGTCTCAAAATGGCTACCGACAAGCTGCGAAACTGCCGTCACGACGTCCCCGACAGGCCAACCACGATATCCAAACCAAGACCCATGAGGCCTCCGACCCACCACCTAGGGCACCCGCCGCCCGCCCGCCGTCCGCGTAGCACGCACCACTCTGTACTCAACAACTTCAGTCTCCAAGACAACACCCTGTAATCAACAGCCCCCGTCTTCAAGGCAACACCCTGTACTCAACAAGCTCCCGCTGCAAGAGAGCACCCTTAAGGAATTCACTCAAATCCCGACCCGCCCGCCCGCCACCCGCCCGCCCGCCCGCCCGCCGCCCGCCCGGCCGCTCGCCCGCCTTCGGCGTGGCACGCGCCACCCTGCCCTCAACAGCCTCCGCCTCCAAGACAACACCTAGCAGTCAACAGCCCCCACAGGGCTCCCGGGACTGCCCGGGCCCGCTCCCAGACACGCCACGACACGCCAAGAGGGCCCTAAAGATTGCCAGGACAGCCCCAAGAGGCCCCGGACACGCCGAAGGTGGCCTGAGGACGGCCGACGACGCCGCCAAAACGCCCCAAGAGCGCCTCCAGAGGATCCTCCAAAAGGCCCCGCATGTTTGCGCTCTCGCATGTTCCGCCTCCCCACGGTCCCGGACGGCGTCAGAGGCCCTTCAGATCGCTCCAAGACGGCCGAAGAGGCTCGCAAGGAAAGACCAGAGACGGCCCAGGAGGTCCCCCAAATAATTCAAGAGGGCCTCGAGAGCGCCCCAAGAGAGCCCCAAGAGCGACCCAAGAGGGCCCGAAGAGCGCGACATTTCAAGGTCTCCGCCCTGAGAGGCTCCTAGGATGCCCCCGGAGGCCATCAAGAGGCTACCAACAAGCCCTGTGAGGCTCCCAAGAGGCCCCCTGGAAGCCCCAATAAGCCCCGGCCCTCCCAGGGAAGCCCCCTGCGGGCCCCCAAGAGACCTCGGTAAATCGTATTTCCCAGAGCTTTCCAGGAACATGATTCCTTGGGCTTCCGCCCACCGCCCCAACCATGTTTCCAATAGGCTTGCCGACAAGGCCAAAAACGGCCCGTCGGTAAGCCCCCAGAGCCCCCCCTCTTAAGAGAGCCGAACAAATCATGCTCCCGGAAAGCTTCCCGGGAACATGATTCTCGGGTTGCCGCCCTCTCCCCAAACCATGTTGATAAACGCCTGCCAGGATAAAAAAAAAAAACGAGAGTCCCAAGCAGCGCTACCTGCCACCACGCTCGGAAACGCGTCAGGCCCCGAAGCCTCCAGAGGCGCCTAACGGCACCCCAACAAATCATGTTCCCAGGAAGTCTTACGGCCAGTGCCGCCGACGTTGAAGGAGGACGGTCCAGGGCACCCATAAATCTTCCAAACAGGCTTCTAAGAGGGCGCCGAGACAGCCCAGGGCCGCCCCCAGACGGCCCAAGAAAGCCCCAACACAGACGAAAAGGGCTGCAAGAATCCCTCAAGAGGCCCCGAAACGAGGACATATCGTTCGAACACGCCCAAGATGGCCTCCGGACGGCCCACAAGGCTTCCAACACGGCCCAAAGTGACGCCAAAATCATTGATTGTCCTTAGGTTTTTGATGGACTTCAGGCACCCAATGTCGCCCCAACAGGCCCCCACGAGGGCGCCGAGACGGCCCAGGGACGCCCTGCCGCGGACACGAGGCGGGGCCCCGGACGGGGCCCTCGCACCAGGGGCCCCGGGAGCCCTGCCGTGGCGCTGGGGGCCTTGTAAAGTCGCCCGAAGACTGCCCTGGCGTTTCCAGACAACGAAAACGGCCAATGACCGCCCGAGATCACCCCAGAATTGGTCCCTGACTGTCCAAGAGGCCTCCAAGACGCCCCAAGAGGTCTCCAAGATGGCCCCCATTGAGCCCCAGGAGGCACAACTAATTTGTTTTCCTTTGGTTTTTGATCGATTTTCGAGTTCTCGCCTTTTGAGTTTCCTGACGCTCCACGACGGCCCAAGAGGCTTTCATTTCCGCTCCAAGGCATCCCCAGTGGCCTCGAAGACGGTCACAAGACAGCCCACGGGGGTCCCAAAACGGCGCCAGAGGCGCCCAAGGCGGCCAGAGAGGGCCCCAAGACGGCCCCAAGATGGAGCCAAGAGGGTTGACACGAACAGAAAATCCGAGTCTTCCACCCCGAGAGGCTCTCAGGAGCCCCCGAGAAGCCCCTAACAGGCTCCAAGAGGCCCCAAGAAGCCCCCCAGGGGGCCGAAGAGTATCCAAGAGGCCTCCCACGAAGGCCCCAAGAGGCAAAAATCCATGTCTTGCCATAAGTTTTGATTGATGTTCGAGTTTTCAACCTTTGGGCGTCCTGACGCTCCAAGACTGCCCAAAAGGCCTCCAAGACCAATCCAAGATAGCCCAAGAGGCCTCCAACAGGGCCCAAGACAGCCCGAGAGGGCACCAATACGGCCCCAAAGGGAGCCCAAGAGGGGGTGACTAAGACGAACCGAACATCCGAG